TGTTTTGCTTTATAAATTTCCAAAATGCAATAGTGCAGCAGTGATTTATGCAGTTTCATTTCATAAAATTTTAAAACAACAAACCTTAAATCTATACATTGATATTCTAACTATTACATGCCAACTGCAAAATGCATTATTTGTGATAAATCTTGTATTAATATGATAACTTAAGTAAAGGTTACGAAATATTGAACCAATGCTGGTCATCTTGTGATGAGTTGCATCATTCATGTTATACTCTATTATGCCATCTACTGATAAAAATGAAAAAAGGAAAGTAAACTGTTTCTTTCAATGTCAGCCACTGCTTTGTGCTGTTAGAGCTTGTAAGTGTTATGTCAACAATTAACAGTACATTATGTCCAAGATGTGCAAGTTGACATGTAAAGAAAAGAAATTCAACAAAGTCTTAATATGCCACAAATTTCTCAGAAATTAAACTATTCCCATTCCACTGTTGGTTGTAACATTGCAAAGATTAAGATATTTGGAAATGTGAATAATTTACTCTGTAGTGCATGGCTACATACATGGCTACATACCAAGGAATAACAAAAGTCTTTATTGTTTGAGCCCAAAATATTGATCTGTTACATCTGAGAAAGTGACAACAGAGTGGAAAGTATTAGCAGAAATGGTCACAAGTCCATGTATTGTTTGCAAGAGGATCTGCAAAGCAGGAATTTTAATATGTAAAACAAGGAATAAAGGTGGCAAGATCGACATGCACAAAAAGCATTACAATTGAACAACAGAACAATGGCAATGCATCAGTTTTCAAATGAGAGCTGTTTCTCATTATTCTAGTAACCAGTCCCAACTTGTACAATGCAAAATAAATATAAGATATTTTTCAAAATGCCTTGAGGTCCATAAAATATGCTCCTTCAATAATATCAATAATGATTTGAGTGCAATCACCTCCAATGATAATGGAGGCATTATTTCATGGATGGCACACTGAATTCAAATCAGTATGAAATTGTTATAGAATGTCATTTCATCAACATAGCCAGAGATATATATGAATTGGAATCATCTACTTTCTAATGATTTGGCACTCTGCCACATCTCCAGACAAGTAAGTGTACATTTCTGGTTTTAATGGTATTTAATATTTTTAAAATATTAAACAATTGCCTGGCAGTTCACTCTTCCAAATGCAAAAAGCATTCTCAGAACGGGAAATAAAACTGCTGGATTGGTCTGGATATTTACGAAGTCTCAACCCAGTTGAAAATGTATGGAATCCCATGGCTCTTGGAAGTTCAAAAAGCATGATCTTAACAGAACAGGGACTGACAAAAAATATTCATATATTGCACCATAATATTAGTCATGATATTATTTAAAGATTGACAGCATGCCAAAGAGAATTCAGACTTTTATTTAAGAATGTCACAAAATATTAATGGATACAATGTATACATTAATGTATTAGTATCTTTTTTTCCATAAATATTATGTATTAATTTTTATTTGTTTAGTAATCATCATCAAGCATATCCTCAAAATAAGCTTCTGCAAGAGTAAGAATAACTTGTAGATTGTGGATAACAAATATAATGTTTAAAACTATTCTGAGAAGATTGTAGTGAACTGAGCTTTATAGCTCTTATTTTCCTCCTATATTAATTGCTTCTTAGCATTAATACATTATCTCCATCATAGGTTAGACTTAATTATTATCATTCTGTTGATTCAGATAAATTCAGAAGTGAATACTTTAAGAAATCTTGCTATACAAATAAAAATTAGAATAATTCAATATTCATAAGTTGTAAAAAACGATATTGACCAATAAATGATAGAATCAAAATACTGCAGTGAGTGATTTCTTGCAATATATGATATTAGTACCTTTTAAATAAATTATTTCTAAAATGTCTAATTCTGTAATGCATCTGTTTAACAAACTTATATTTTCATTACAAAACAATATTTTTTCCTTTTACTTTTTTAATGAAAATAACAAATGAACAATATTTTTGATATAGCTTCTAAACAATCAGCAAATACCAATGTAAGTATTCTTCCAAGTGAGCAAAAGAAGCCTTAAATTTAAAATTCAAAACAGAAGATTAAAGTATGATCAGAACACTATCTTTATTGAGAGTTCTTTTGGTTTAGATAAAAGCATATATTTTCCAACTCATAATAATGCAGGAAAAAAATACATAAACCATGGAAGCTGGGAAGCTATCTTTTGGCCCAAAATGTTCAATATCTTTACAATCTTCACTTAATAGTCAAAACAAAGAGGAAAAGATAATGTTAGCAATGTTGTTGGCAGGGCAAAAGAAGAGAAATAACTCAATTATCCAACCAAAGATCTGTGTTAAGTCTATGATCTACGAAAATCTGGAAATTATACAAAGAAAATGCTGCTATATTTTTGTGATAGTCTAAGATAATTGCATTTCTTTTTAAAGTCAAAAACAGTGACAACATCACATCTTATTCAGCTTAAAGCTAAGTAGATGCATCTGTTCACATATAAGTATCAAAATATTTTTATACCAAACTGTATGAATTGTTAAAAACTGTAATTATCTTCAAAAGAAGTTTTTCAATGTTGATGAAATTGGATTTTAATAAGCCTTAACCATTAAAGTTTGCTTTACCATCATCTTAGCACATAATACTGTAGAAAACAGTCTCATTTTATTTACCATATTATTGAAAATCCAGGAATCTTGTAGGAATTTAAAACTGATTTCTTTTCTCTGTCCATTGTTAGTTATGCCAATAGGAAAGGCTGGATAACAAATATAATGTTTAAAACTATTCTGAGAAGAATCTTCATTTTCAACTGAAACAATATTTCTCTATTCACAGTTCTGTTTAAGATCCTGATGATTTCAGACAATGCCAATCTTCCCATAACAGTTCAGGCATATTCTCAAATTAATGATAATCTATTTACCATCAAATACAATCTACTTTTTAAAACCAATGAACCAACACATAATTAAATATTTTGAATGTTGTTATAATGTGGTACCATAGCCAAGGAATATCAAAAGATTTTCAACATTGAAGATGCTATTAGTATTATAATTTGCAAAATTATCTTTTTAGAAAGTATTCAATACATTGCATTAATGAATTATAAAAGCTTTCTTTACAGTTTTGTGCTGTATTAATAATATCAACAGTGTTGTAAATAACATTGGATTAACAGAAGAATTATTAAATGAGTAATTTCTGGAATTTTATGTTCATCAGTTGACCAATGGAAAATTCAATGAAGGGAGAAAAAATAGCAAAAAGACATCTAAAAACATGCAAAAATCATCTGAATAGTTTATTGGTATTCTCAACATCTGAATTTTTGGTGAAATGAAGTTATTTACCCAAATCAATATCTAAACACAATGGAGAATGACTCAAATATAAAATAAGGTTCAATTATACAATGAAAAGAACAAATGCAGCTACTGGATACAAAATATTCTATAACACAAACTGCAACAAGACCCAGAAGACTCAGTTGGCCTTCAGCTTCATATTAACAACAATATCATCTCCTGATGTGCCTTTCTAATTTTATTAATAACCCTTTCAACCCAGCCAAGTTCATGCAAGATAATCAAATTGGCACTTCTCCAAGAAGAAAAATAATTTTTCTAATCACTGTTAATTCATAAATTCATTTGTAAATTAAAGTTATAGATTTCAAAACTTTCTTTATGTTTAATTGTTTTTCATTCACAAGTTTTTTAATTTATAGATCTTTTTCATTTATTATCAATCTTTCCTTTTTATTACATTATGTATATTCAGTCAAAAGGATTAATAAAATAATTTTTATTATATAATGTACATACACGTTCATTACATATTTCACTTAATTTTACTTATTTATATTAATTATAAAAATTTCACTTCATTTAATTGCATAAAAGCAAGAAATCTTACATTGATGATAGCTTACACATTCCCCAAATTTTATGCATTTCTATAGCAAAACTGAACTAAATCTGCATTATCTTTGTTTATGCATGTGTTCCAAGAATAAAACTCCTGCATAAATCACAACTGCAGTGTATTTAGATAAACTTTTTCTCCATAACTTAATTTTAAGATATGTAGGTCAATAATGAATATATTTTAAATATCCCAAATTATTTTTTCAAACAAATTAGCAATAGAATTGTTTATAATTTTCATCACAACTTCAATAATCTGCTTATATTTTTGTAAAGTTCTGCTCTAGGTGAAAAGATAGAAACTGAAGATATTCTTTTATACAGAATTTACAAAAGAAAAAACATCAATTTTCAATATTAATTTGCACATAAATTTATAAATTATTACTTTGTTTTATTTAGTATTTAAAACTGAATTCAATATCAGGTCAGAACCGAATGCAACAACATAATTTCAAAAATACATACTTATAATTATGCTTAAATGGATATTATATAATTAAAATATATATAATTTCTGAATTTAAATTGTATTTAACATCTTGAAACTGTAAGTATATAATTTTGCAAAAATTATAAAAGAAAATTAAAAAAAGAAGAAGATAAAGTGAAATTATTCTATTAAAAAAACAAAATATTTACTGCATTTTTAAATGACTTGTATAAAAGTAATGTATGAATTCATTTTAATCTATTTATTGCACCAGTTAAATTTTAGCGAACAAAAAAAATATTAAATTTTTTGATTATTAAAATCCTTATATATTACTTCTGAAATAATATATATAAATTTTAATAATTTAATAAACCCAAAACATTCATTTAGTTTGTACTATTCAACTGGAAGACTGCGAGATGTTGCAGATATTATTATTTCTAGCCAGACTAGAAATTTAATGAAGTTTGCAGCCTATATTCCAGCAAATAGGGTATTTATATATTACATATTAAACTTTACAATTTAATTAAGTGTATAATTTAATTTCTAAATAATACAAACACTTGCATATTTAAAACTTTGGATTTAAATCTAACATTTTACAATTCAATAATTTAAAGTAAATATATAATCCTATCACTTACTGCATGCTTCTTTGCAAAAAGTTCTTTTAAAAGACTGTTGCAATATTTCATTTGTTCTGACAATTTTCCTTTCTTTGGTTTTGTGCTATGTTGCTGTAAAATTTAAATGACAAGGATAAACTATAACTGAACACAATAATTTTAATATCAATAAAATTTACTTTTAATTACCTCAAACTAAGACACCATTTCTATAATAATTTAAAAGCTATGTTATTTATTTATCTAATTTTTAATATACTAACTATGATTGGGATTGTTATGGATGCAGCAACTTAAATCTTTATAATGTTACATTAACTCAATTGTAATAAGTTAAACCTATGAAAGTAATTACAATTTAGACACAGTTCAAGTTTATTATTAATTTATAATTTTTGTCTACATTTTTAACAGTAAATAATTATATTTTTCTACAACTATGTACTGAATAATTACAATTATAAAAACATTTTAAGAATAAGACTAGTAAAAAAACATATATAGTGTACTAACAAATTAGAAATAAAAATTTTTATAATAATTTTTTATTTAATTTTCCTTACACCAATCAACGCCAGCAAAATACCAAAACTGTAGTTAGTTAAACTGACTCGAGAAGTTCCAGTATTAAACTTAGTTGTTTCTTTTTTTTTTTTTTATTATTGAATTCATTTTAATTAGTTTGTTCTGATTTTGATTTCTTAATACAAGGGCCTTCTGAACTAAATTTATTTCTAAAAAATGAAAAATATGCTATTTAAAATAAATTAAATCTTGGCTTGCTGAACTTAAATTTAAATTATCCTATGTGAATATCTGAAATAATGCATCTGTAAACAATAAAAGCAATGGACGAAGATAAAATAACATATATTTAGTGTAGACATCAAAATATAGATGTTATGTACATAAATAATTAAATAAATCTGATCCAGACAACACCATTTATCTGATAAACAATTAAAATGAAAAATGCTATCAGTAGTCATCTTTTGAGATATTCAAACTAGTGTATCAAACATTTCTAGAAGTATAAATTGAGAGAAAATTAAAAACAGGAAGATTTATGAGGGGATGGCATAATGTTAGGTCATCGATTTTGATCAAAGTTGGTGAGGTTATAGTGCATTCTCAACAACTGACATGTGCCAAGCAAGCAAGGTGCAATACTCAAAATTAAAGTTGAGGTTGAAAATTGCAAATCATTTAAAACTTTTAGAATTTCCCCCATTTGTAGAGTGTCTGGTGGCTCAGTGAAAATGTGTTGGTTTCATAATTGCAAATTTGATGTTTCAAATCTCTATGGTATCAATGTAATTTTTTTAAATACAAAACTATAAGTTTTAATTTATTCTTAGTATTTTAAAATTTATTACATTTATTTAAAATTATTTTTGAATACTCATGTACTGTACCAGTATATATGGGATTCATACTAACATTTATCTATCTATAATTTATTTGGGAAGAGGATTGTATTTAAACAAAATTGCATTTTTTAAGGCCAATTTTGTTAATAAAAAAGACATTTTTATTAACATTATTCAATCTGTTTTCTTTCTGGGATTCAAACATAATATATCATTTAAATCTGAAAACAACTCAATCTATTTCATTTCTTTAAATAAAATTTATATATTTTCCCCTCATTTTAACTGGAATAAAAATAAATAGCAATTTTAAAATTTTTTCAAAGATTTAAAATTTTTCAAATTTTTTCAAAAATTTCAAATTTTTCAAATTTGAAAAATTTCAAATTGCTCAAATAATCTGAATTTCAAATTATTTGAGATTTTGAAATTTACAATGAAATTTTATTTTCAGAACAAATTTAAAAATTTTGAATAATTGAAACATGCTTTTATAGCTTATTTGGTATATTTTTAATAAAAATATATATATAATAAAATACACTCATTGAAAAAAGTTATGCACTTATCAGGATGGTGTTGAAATTGAATAAAACTATAATACTAATGAGGACATAATGCTGATTGTAAAAACTGATTACATCATAGCAAAAGTACAATTTCCTGTGAAACAATACAATTTAAAGCAGACACCATATAATATCCTATGACAGTTTTGTCTGCAGATACTGCAATTGGCACTCCAGATCGCTCTCTCTTTCACACAGATGGCTAAAGCTGTTATCTGGCCCTGCAAGCATTTGACAAGTACCAAATCTGACAATTGGATAGGCCAAGCAAATGTGGTAACATGACAGATAAATTCCTAGAAAATGGTTGTTTGCATCTCTGCCACATAACAACACTTGAGACTGAAGGATTTCCAAATGTACCACTGTGTCATCAACATCTCTTGTACCACTACTAAGGATAACTTATTGTAATATGAGATGGCTCCCCAAACTAGCATGCCAGCAATGTGGACAGCGCATGGTTTAACAAAAAAAGTGAAACTGAAGTATTCACCAGTAGTACTTTGCACTCCAACATCATTGTCATTCACTCCCAAACTGAACTGGGATTTGCTGCTAATGATAATATGATGCTAGTCCATGCTTCCTTGTCACACCACCACTACAAACAAAGCCAATGATATTGGGATGCTAATGGCAGGACACACAGCAATCACTGTGCATGCAAATTTTCATCTGATATTCACTAACAATAGTATGGAAAAAGACAGGGCTTTGTTGAAAGGCTTCCATTTATCTCTGAATGCCAGACAAAGATGCCATTACAATTGTTTGGACTTCTCTCACAATCAGACAATCATGTCTTATGATAGTCTTATGCCTAATGCATCTGCTCCCAACATGTCACAGTCAGGTCAGAATGGTCCAGATGGCAATTCAGCAAAATGTCATACTGCTTCCCTTAGATTGACAGAGTTTGACAAAAAACTAACAGCTGTGTTTAATATTTTTGCATTGTAAAGTCATGCCTGGTATTTGAAGACTCCCAAACAGTGAGCTTTCGCACGTCTTTTTATAGAATATTGGGGGTACCAATTTTACAGCATTCTGGTGGTGTTATATGGTATGCAACTGAACCACAACTGTAATCACTTATATACTTTTCTGAGGCATAGTTGTATGCTGAGTTTTACAATGATCAGATAATTCTATCTGAGTGTGTAACTTTTTTACTCAATGAGTGTATTTTAGTGAATAATACGTTAATAAAATATATAGGAAAAAAAAGCATTTTTAATATAACACTGTGACCGTAGGGTCAGCATCTCTTCAATACCAAGTCACATCATTGGTCCAAAGAGATCGTCATCCCTGACGAAATCGGGGAAAGGTCCGAAAGGAGTACTTCATATAAAAAGGACCAGCATGATGAGTAAGATTGTGGAAGTTATGAATTGATTGTGTGCGTGCAACATGTCCACCTCACGCTGAGATCAACTTTGAGAAACTGTACCTGTATGTTTATTTCCTCGCTGACTGAACTTCAGAACATCAACGAACTTCAAGAGAACTACTTTGGAAAATCAAGGATTTGGGAACTTTATTACTTGATCAACAGTATAAGTTAAGGTATTTATTCTGCCCGCGCACTATTGTACGCTCTCTCTCTCTCCGCATAAACTAATTGCAAACTCAATTGTAACTAGAAAACAAATGGGAAAAAGATCAATGCTGAACGCGATTCACGTAACTTATATTTAGCAACATACTAACTTTGTAACCTTGAATTCTGATGTATAACTAACTTAGTTTTAATATAAATAAACGGTTATATGTTTAAAACATCTTTGAGTGCAGTTTCTTCTGTTCTTCTCTCTGTTCACTCCATTCCAGGTCCAAAACTCATACATAACCGCTCGCGTAAACTTGTGGTCTCTGTATCGACATAAGGATACATTGGTGTCATCCTGGCGTGGTATCGAAGAGATACCGACCCTACGGTCACAACACTGTATATATCAAAAGTGGCTAAACCTTGTCACAATAGGAGCCTTATACAATGTATCAGAAATATATGAGAGCTGCATCCTATATTGAATGTTGAAATGTTATTTCATGTAATATATATAGAAGAATAGCACCAAAATTGGACCCCTGCCCTTAATAAGATAGAAATTTGATATTCAGGGGTGACAATAAGGTTCCAGAAGAGCTAGAGTTTGGGCACTGTGCGTATATACTTTTAAACAAATTAGTAAAAAATCTAAAAATTATTTAAAAAATTTTTTTCTATAAAGATTCCACTTCCCAATAAACTTTGTCTTAAAATTTATATTAAAAAATTGTAAAATATAATATGAATTAATTTACTTAATCATATACAAACTACTATCTTGAACAAATTCAAGATTTCAAATAAAGTACAGTGGTACCTCAGTATATGTCTGCTTTAGAATACGTCAAATTCGGAATATGTCCTGTTCGCACAAAACAAATTTTGCTCGGTATACGACTAATCTGAATTATACGCACCATCTATGAACAAGTAACACTATCAGTGTACTAGACCAGACTAGACATTCGCGGTGCCACAGTTTATAACTTTGTTAAATTTCTTCTGATTTTACTTTGTAAGTAAAATTTTACTATTTTTATTAATCATGAATTGCAAAAAGACAAATGAAAAGCAACAGAAAACTAAAAAAATGACTAGAATCACAATGGAACTGAAAAAAGAGATTGTTGAGAAATGTGAAGGTGGCATGCATGTTTGAGATTTAACTGTTGCACGCCATATTCCGAGAACAACGATATAGACAATCGTGAAAAATAAAGACATTATTAAATCTGCTAACATTGCGAAAGGGGTTAAATCAATTTCTAAACAGAGATCGAAGACATTAGATTATGTGAGAAATTGCTTTTGCTTTGGATAACTGAAAAACAGTGTGCTAGAGACAGCGTATCAGAAGCAATTATTTGCAAGAAAGCTAAAAAGATACATGCTAATCTCATGAAAAACCAAGCAGGAACTAGCCAGGAAAGCGAGGTGTTTAAAGCCAACCATTTTTTTTATATGAGAATGGATTAATCATTTTTACATTACTTCTTATGGGAAAGGTTGGTTCGGTATACGTCCTATTTGTTATAAGTCCAAACATCAGGAACGTTTTCTACCTTTTATTTTTTTGCCAGGGTCCTATTCTCTAGACCCCTTTTAGAGAGATTTTGACTGATTGGCTATCAATTATTCCTACTGACTGGAGTTTCATTTTTACGAATTAATCCTTCTCACTTTTTTTACTAGAAAGTCGTGAATTTCTTGCAATATTCCACTAACAGATTAAGATTGTATACTGAGGTTCCACTGTAGTTTGAATGTGTTCTTACAAACATTTTTAGTACAGATTTTAAATCATCATAAATGTGCCTTCCTACTTCAAATATTAAATTGATATATAAATTACCTGTGTATCAGGCAAATCTTTTAAAGGTTTCTTTATTGGTCTACCACTCTCTCTCCTAGTAGAAATTTTTGATAACTTTGCTTCAGAAACTGATGTATTTATCTGATCATATCCTGAATTTGCAGTTGGTGTCGTAGTATCAGCTTTTCTTTTCACACCTCCTCTTCTTGCCTACAGAAAATAATTTCAATGAATAACAACTTTTAAATTTCTATAATGGCATTTCAATTAAAAAAAAAAAAATAGTAATAATAATTAAAATAACCAGTTTATTACTGTCATCAAAAGCAGTCATTACTAATCTGCGATAGTATTATACTGAATTACATTATGACTTACTATTCTGTGTGTTTGTAAGAAACTTATACCAGCTAACTTCCCCAAAGTTTACTTCAATTACTAGAACAACTATTTTAAGACATTGTAAGGAACCACGTCCGAGCATTATTTTTAGTTACTTTTATTTTTGCTTATTATTCTATTTTTGTTTGGGGCTTATGTTTTGTTAGGATTAAGGTTTCCTCACCATTCACCTTAGAAACTTAAAAATAGAAGAGAAACCAACTCATCGACGAGAGAAAAGTGCCATAGTTAAAAATCACGCACACTTGCGCTCCTGAGCGGAGAAAAGTAAGTCCACACCGAGAAAAAGGGGGGGAGACCCCACAAGCACAACTTAGGAAACTTGCTAAACCTTAAAAAAATAAAACATCCTGAAAATTGTCAAAAAGAATAATGTAAAAGGTTAGCGAGTATTATCAGAAAATAGGCTGCCAGACAAACAGAAAAAAGTTTGTTAGCAAATAAGTATGTAAACGAGGGGAGTGATCGCTCTCAGATTTGTGACGTCACTTCACAGTATAAAGACCGAACCTCAAGTGAAGATGGTCGAGGTGAACTTCTGTTAGCAACGAGCGTGGTGAGCTTCATAGCAGCAAAAGAGAGAGGTGTCCGATAGGATAAAGTAGTTCCAAGGCGATTTTGAAGTTATTTGATTTGTGGATTGAAGATTAGAGAAAGTATTGAGAGTTGAGGAAAAAGGTTCCTAGTATATTGAGGTGATGATTAGGATCTTTAATTCATAAGAATTATTGTATATAAGTTAAGTCTTTGATTTTTGTCGAATTCCAAAGGGGAATAGAATTAAGTTAGAAAATAGACTGATTTGAGTTTTGTCGGGTTGATTCTTATTGACTTTCATTGAATAAATTGTTATTTGATTTTTTACAAAATTTTGTATATAGTTATTACTAGAATATTTATTAAATATTGGATTGTTATTGACTAACTTTGTCATTATTTAATTTGGTGCATGCTTAAAGTCCAGGCCTGGCACGTTAACGCGAATCCGTGTAAAGTACCCATTAGGTAACGGCTATTTCTGGCACACAGTCGTGTCGATAATCATTGTACAGGGCAGAAAAATAATATAGTACTTTACAACATCATCATCAAAGGCATAATAATAATGGCTTTTAAGCAGGAAGACATATTTTCTGTTCTCCTCAAATCTTAAAGAAGAGCATATTTCAATTGATGGAAAAATTATTTTTCATAATATTCAAACCTGTAAGAGCATTCTTTTTACAAAGATTTTAATTATCCCATCAGCATGAAATGGTTTGATATAGATTATGGCATCAGGTTAACAACTGCTTAACATCTGAAAGAAACATTCTGACTACTCAATATTCATGAATAGTGTCTTAAATCCTATACACAAGGTTTAAAGACTACTTATTGAGTCTCAATTTTTTTTATGAGTAACAATGTTTATCTTCGTACAATCCAGTTTGCTAAACATTTTTTTATGATATGTTACATTATTATGATTTTTTTAATGATTTTGTTAAAAGCTTTATGTCTATATTTTCCTGTATTAAAAATTCAGATAAAATTGTCAAATTTTATAATTTCTATGTTCATGCAGTCATAATACAGTCATTTGTACTTTAAAAGTACAAATGACTGTATTATGATCTTACAAATTTCAGTTTAATTTTATATTAATAAGAGGTTAAGGTTAGGTTAAGTTATTGACTGGATTATTGCTTATTGTGATAAATTCAGTTGAAGATTGTTTCAATAACAATAAATGGCTAATAAGTAGGGTTACCACATGTTGGGATGCACAATGTAGGACAAATCAACAACCAAAAAACTCTAGTAACAAGTTGCATAACTTTCTTGGCTGTTATTAGATTTTATTTTAATTATTATAAAATGGCAAAAAACATAAGCTTTAAGGTAGTAATGAGTTTTATAAAAAAAAAACTAAATGCTAACAAAAAAGATTACAGTAATACCTCGACTTACGCAAACCCAGAGTTACGCGATTTTCAAATCTCGTTGATTTGTCTTTTGTTTGAGCACTATGCAACTCTTGATTACTCACTCCCCCCACACTATTGTTCAGCTTACATGTTCAGACGTGTCGCGCGGAATCGACACATAGCTACAGTTTATTTTGTGTTATTTATTTCTGTGTTCGTTATATCTACGGAGACTTGAGAGACTCTATGTGGTGATTTCTTGTAACTGTAAACGAATCAAAAGACGAGATAAGATTAACGAGAACATTTATTAGCTTACATACATCCGACTTGGATTTTACACAAATTGGGAAATTATACCCTGACTTACACGGTTATCACTCGGTCCCACCTATCGCGTAAGTTCGGGGTATTACTGTATTAAGTTTGACCTTTCTCAATATATGACACATGACAACCCACCATCACCCTACCCCTCAACCTTTAACCATCAAAATTTAATAGCTTCAATGCCTATTATACTATGTTAACTTTAAATTTCTTTATCTTTACCCCATCCTGAAATATTAAATGAAATCCAATACATGCCAATACACTCACGCTACACACACTACATATCCACGAAAATTTTTCCTGTTGTTTTGACTTTTTTGGGTTCAGGGATCTCAAAATATGGAGATTTCTAAAATTCTCTGAGGGTCAATTTCACACAACTCCAATACTTTTTCTTGTTATGTATATATAATAACCTCTGGGAAAGTAAAAGAAAAAGGGATTAATAAAAGAAAATTAAGTATAATAATAAAATTATAATTTATTTTGGATAAATTTAGGTGACAATTAAAAATAATTTAAAGATTTTTCATCAAAATCATATCTTTTTTCCACATAAGACAAAGCTCTGTTATAAACATTTAAAGATTCATTTTCAAACTTTTGCTTTTCATATAGAAACTTTCATCTTTCCATACGTGAAAAATTTATTCTCAATTCTAGATGTGAGTTGTTGCTTAAAATCTTTTAAAATTGTGTATGAGTTGTTATTGACTTGTATACAATTGATACTAACTATATCCCTTTTTTTTCTAATAATTTTTATATTAAATTTATAAATTTATATTTCAACTAGCAGATGAGCCCAACATTGCTTGGACAAAAAGTAACAATAGTGAAAATTAAGATTATTAGATTATAACCAATCTTACCCGTTTTCACCGAGTGCAAAAATTAGGCCCCCCTCTTTTGAGACTAATTAGAAAATTTTTAGATCTGCTTACCACACCAGGTTAACAATAATTAAGACTCACTACAACCACTAACCGGTGCATAGTACCACAAAGTGATAAATAATAAATGTTTTCGTAACCTCTCCTGGGTTCTTCAGGTTTACTGAATTCAAAAAATATACTGGATCTTTCCAAATCATTCATAAATATAAATTTGAACATAAAATCGAACATTAAGATGAAGCGTTCGAATAAAACGAACTTATGCGCATGTGCTCCTCGTGTCAACTTTATATATGATGAAACACTAAATATCGTTGAGAATTTTTAGAAGGGTTTAAAAATATGTTTGATTTCCTGTGCAAAAAAGCATTTAAAAAAAGTGTACAGTAGACCGAGTTCTTCGGGGTAATCCTTAATCCCCTCTCTCTCCCCCACAGTGGGAATTTCGACAGATTCCTTCTTATTTTTGTTTTAAATTCCCTGACCAACTTTGTACAAATTCCCTGACCCTCACATCCCTTACAGTATGGCACATTAACAAAACGAACATTAATTGACTTACTATGCACATATGCTAGTGTTTCTCCAACTTTTTAACTGGTTATTTTTCTAATTGACAGTCATATAGCTTTTATAATCAATGAATTAGTAAAATTAAAAATAAAATACGAAAGACCAAATTATGGCATGTCTCCTCTACACAAAACTGAAATGTTTTATTATATAATAATTTATCCTGTTATTAACTCATAACTGTAAAACTTCATGACTTTGAAAAAAAGAAAAAANCTATACTCATTGTTTTGCGCAAACGGAACTTATTGTTTCTTCATTGGTACCATCATATGGCTACTCTAATTATAATTTGGTACGGAGCATATAGAGAAATAACTTTTGGGTATTTAATTTGTTATGTTAACCTTATCGTTCATTCTCTTATGTATAGTTATTTTACTTTAAAAGCTATGAATGTAAAAATGCCTAAAAAACTCGCCATGTTTATAACAACAATTCAAATATTTCAAATGACGTATGCAGTTTTAATAGCTTGTTGGGTGTATTGGTTAATAATTAATAATTACGAATGTGATGTATCGAAAGAAGCGTTGGATAATGTTTTCTTACTTGTTTCGTCTTATTTGATTTTGTTCTGTAAATTGTTCTATGATTCATATATAAAAGGTTATTCGAGAAAGAAAAAAAACAATTAATATTGTTGTATGCTTGTATATTTTGTGCGCTATAATTTTGGGGAAAATTTTGTGTATGTTTTGGTGAAATTTTGTATCCTGAAAATATTCTGCACTCCCTTTTCATAAGTTGCATTATACCACAATACTTCTTGCTGCCTGCAGACAGCTACACTTGGTCAGTCATTCATAAATATAAATTTGAACATTAAGACAAAGCGTTCGAATAAAACAAACTTATGCGCATGTGCTCTCTGTGTCAACTTTATATATGAATTTTGACAATTTTTAACAAATTCCCTGAATTTCCATGACTTTTTCAGAACACTCATGTAAATCCCTGACTTTCCAGATGCATAGGAACTCTGTATTCACCATGGATTTCTTTTAGAATAGAAAACAGTAAATAAGGAAAATTATCTGAGGCAACAAAATGTCTTTGTGAAATCATAAAAAAAAAAACCATTGTCATGATGGTATTCTCTCCAAGCAGTCGAAGAGAAGACCATTGTAACAAATCTCCTGCTCACACATCACTGTTGATAAAAGAGTTTTTAGCCAAGAACTCAATGCCACTCGTTCTCCAATCTCCAATTCACTGGACTAAGTCCCCAAATACTTTTTATTTCCCAAATTAAAATTCACTCTCAAAAGTTGTTTTGAATTTACTGATACCATTAAGAAAAATTCATCAGCAGAGCAGAGCATTATCCCAAAAGAAACATGTCACAGAGCATTCCTTTCATAGCAGAAATACTGAATTCAGTGCATAGAATCAAACTTCTTCAACAAGATTGACTAGCTTCTATGTAAATAGGTAAACATAAACTTTTTTCGTAAATTTTGCAAACTTTCCAGACAGACCTTGCGTGCATGTGAGTATGTGCATGCGTGCGTGCAATGATCTATCTAAACCAGAACCTGAATAATATGGAATCTTATCCATGGCAGAAATTTTTCTTAATCCTATGTAATTCCAGTTTGAACAGGTATGTAGTAATAAAATTATGAAATAAAAAAATTTATTGAGTTACCTACTTATATACCTGATATACACATTTATTTACAACAAAATCATACAATTTATTAACAAGAAAAACATTACACACTTTTCCAACAAGATAATGTTTTAATTCAAACATCAGAGAATATTTTTGGCCTTTTTTAGGGTCGTTGTTTGAATTAAAACATTATCTTGTTGGAAAAGTGTGTAAGGTTTATTTTTTTAATATGTGCTGTTCCAGCTTTGAAAGTTTTGTCAAAGTATTTATATTTTAAGTTTAGATATGGTAATTGTTAACTGACTGTCTACCTGACTACTGACTGCACACTTAATGCTTTAAAATATGTTAGGATATAACCAAACTGATACTGAGTTTTACTTATAATACAAAAAAGCTTGCCATCCATTTTTCTCATATAAACTAGTACAGTAGAGCCTCGAAAACTCGGCACTCAATAACCTGGCACTCCGGATAACTCGGCCACACACTGGCAGGGCAAAAAAATCCTTAGTTAATTAATTTTCATTATAGACAGCTTTATGCCTCAAAGTATTTTTCTGAGGTCTGTCTTATCAAGTAAATTACTGTACACAGTGTATTCATTAATTTTCATTTAATAAAGGCTCTATGCCTTCATAAAGGATGTACTTTTCCTTTGTTTAAGGGTATTTGAGCAGTTTATTCTCTGTTGTATTCTCAAGCAAACAATACATACAAGTACAATACAATATTTTCTGAGGAAACACGCATACTTATCCTTTTTTAACCCCATTCCCGATAACCCGGCATTTTCACAAACTCGGCCACCCTTCGGTCCACATTAGGCCGAGTTT